AGTCAGTCTAAACAAAGAGTGAAATAAACTTTATATTTTGAAAATTATTTACATCAAATTACACAATTATTGACTGTGCCACAGCAGTCATTTCCTCCACCACAACTGCATCAATAGTTTTTCCTCTGAATAGTTTTTATTTCTTAATTGTAAAATCCAATAAGTCTGAAAATTATTAATTGTGTTGTCTTTATTACGGACAAATAAATAAATAACATTAGGAAGTGTTGGACTATTACTAGTTTAGTTAAACTATTTAAATAAAACAGTGAGAGTGTGAAAGAGTTTTAGGGAAATTATTTTTATATTAGGGTCCACAGGCCAAAATAGCCCATAATTGAAAAAATATAAATTCAAAATAAATTGGCATTTATTTTACCTTCCAGGCTCCAGGCCATTTAGTGCCACAATCTTCCCGTCCTGTCTGTTGATTTTGAAAAGACTGTTTGTTTGTGATCTCTGACTGAAAGACAGAACATCATTCTCATCTCGGTCTGTGGCATAGATCTTCCCTATAATCCCGCCAGGAAACACATCTGCTGCCATGACAATGTTGATTTCCAGTGGGAAGGCCACAGGTTTGAAGAGGCTGTCTCCGATGACACGCACAAACACAAAGGATGTGGAGGACAGACGAGGCTTCCCTGAATCACGCGCCTTGTTGACAAGAACAAGATCACACTGTACAATTCTAACAATTTAAAGCTTCATCAAACTAAAGAAATGAATTAAATCCCTTAGAAATGTCACAGCAGCTACATGTGTGTTTCTTCATCTACAGGCACTTTTATATTCCAGAGATTGATTTTTATTTAAACAGATTTCTCTTTCTGTTATATGAAGGTCACATTAAAGTTGCATAAGAACCTTTTGTCTATTTATTTATTTAACTATTTAATTATTTCATTAATAAATTTTATTTTCCAATTATTACATACAACTTTTATTGTTTTATCCTTGTCATAAACCCAGACTTTTGTCATAAAATATGAAAATCCATCATAAAAATATGAATTATATTTAAAACTATGATAATCAAACAAGGAGATAAACCCCTTGCTTTTTCAGACCGATGAGCTTTGTAAAAATCGATGCGTTTCAGAAGGCGGGGCATAGAGGAGAAACAATAATGTACAGTATGTGGAAAATAATGTGTTTTTTTAACCTTAAACTGCATAAACACATTTCATTACACCAAATACACAAAATAATGTTCTTTTTAGCAGCATCATATGACCCCTTTAACTATTAACAGTATCAGTGAAGAGCATACTTGATATCAAGTATGGGACCTGTGATTCAAAGTGGATCAAAAACTTTCATCAAAGTTGTCCTAAAACCAAAATGCGTTCTTGACTTTGGACAACTTTGAGTAATTTTTTTGATCCACTTAAAATGTTGACTACTATACTAAAGAAGTCAGACATTTCATTCTGGAAAAATGTGTTTACAGAGGTCAAAAGTGCTCATAGTTGAAGAAACACCTGCATGAGAATTCTGTAATTCTGAATTCACTTTTAACTGACAGTTCACTTTTTTGAGCTGTTGCACTAACCTGTATCTCAAGCGTATACTCTCGTGTTGCATCAGGACCAAATACTCGGCTTGTCTGTAATTCTCCATTCTGGTCCAGACTGAAAGCATTGCCCTCATTTCCAGACACGATACGAAACTCAAAAGGTGCACCATTTCTAGAGGAGTCCTTATCAGAAACTGATAGTGAGAGGATGGTAGTTCCTGCAGGCTTGTTCAACTTGAGAAAAAAAAGAAAACAGAATTAAGATAGTAATTTTGAAATTCAAAAAAGGTCTAAATCGCAAGTTTTTCATATTTTCTGAAGAAAATGTGAGTGATGCTTGACCATACAAAAGTCTATACTACAATGCCAGTGTGCTGTTGGTGGTTGCCTGGTTGTTGGTATGAATTTATTTAGTGTCCAGGGTAATTGCTAGGTGGTTGTATCCTAGACCTAGACAAAACGCCTACCCTAAATTTATATGACATTCCAGTCCATATACAGTATATAGCTCAGGTACTTCCTTTAGAGTAAGTCTATGAGATTTCTTAGACACTTTATCATCCGCAGGGGTAGATCATAAGTCACAGCACACCTCTCCTCAACAAGCAATACAATTCATTTCCATAGGGAGATGAGTTATGTGCCGAAATGTAATACTTAAAAGTAGGGGAACTGTATTTCAATATTTTTCTGCCTTTTTACAATATATCTCAATATTTATGTATTTGGACCAAAATGGCTTGAAAGGGTGATTTTTTAAAAGAGTACCCTTATTTTCAGGTGCTAAATGATAAGAGCAATACATATAATATAGCAATACAAAATATAATGTATTCAATAGATCATTCAGTCCTAGTTCAGAGTTCACTGAAATCCCTAACTCTAAGCACAAGCAACAGTAACATGTTGCAAACAAAAGAGTTAAAACTGTCTCTCACACCTGAATAACAGCTGAAGCATTAGCGGGAGAGAAGATCGGCGGGTTGTCGTTCACATCGGCAATCTCGATATTGACATTCACAGTGGTTGACTTGGCAGGTGACCCGCTGTCAAACGCTTGCACAGACAATGAGTAGCTGAAGACCTTAAGCAACCGAGACAGGAGGATAAATGTCAGGCAAAAACAGTTCAGAACGACTCAACTCTCGATAAATGTCTTTTTTTTTAAAGAACAGGACTGTTCGCTCACCCACAGTCACTCAAAAGCCTCAATTTCAGCCCTACACTGCCTAATTAAAGACTTTACGGCTGATTTAAAGATAATTGGCCAAAATCATGCAATATCTCAGGAGAGTGTCTAGAAGAGCCACAGCGCAGGGATGTCAAGATTCATTAGCAGAGCTCATTCCAAGGACTAACCGTCTCTCTGTCCAGTGCCTTGTTAACTTTCAGAAGCCCGGTGACAGGGTCGATCCAAAACTGATTTTCACGGTCCCCTTTCAGAATGGAATAAGTGATACACCCATTGATCTGACTGTCCAAGTCTTCTGCGAACAGCTGCACATAACAAACACAGATAACAAACTTATAAATTCTAGCGTATTTGAGAGCAAAGAGGCTAAAACTCCCTGAATTTATACGGATCATGAAGCAAATTACTCCCTCCTACGGTAAATTATATTACAGCTCAAGTACACAGTACAAATGAATAACTAATGTAAGTTCATTAAGGGGATTTATGCGAGCAATAAGCTTAATTACATGCTAGCTGTGAAATTGAAATTATGTCTGCGGCTAATTAAATGCCAATGAGGTGGCTCGGCTAATGAGAGAACTTTACCCTCGTGACCGTTTCTCCGATGGCTATGTCCTCGCTGATCAGAACATTGTAGATGTCCTCGCTGAATGAAGGCGAGTTGTCATTGACATCCAGAAGCACTATGGTCACTATTGTCGTGGCTCTCAAGGGAGGTGTTCCATCATCAAAGGCCTCGACATTCAGGAAAAAATCCTTGCAGAGCTCATAGTCAAGATCATCCGCCACAGAAATGATGCCTGAAATCATGCGAGATATGAGTCAGAGTAAAGCCAATTAATTTATATGAATATGACAGACAACACAGTTACATAAGTCGCAATACAAAGGCTCCTTGGGACGCATTAAAAGCCTGAATATTTAGTTCACGCACAATAGCCAAAAGAAAGTACTTCCCAGCTGCGCCTTCAAGAGCTTAATTCTTTTAAAGTATGGGTTTAGGCTAAAGCACTTTACGCTTTTGTCAAAATTGAATGCATGGGAAGTGATATAACTATAAAAATGATGTGGTTTCCACTGACTGCCCGCATCTTTTTAAGAGACAAAGAGCGCTCTCAATAACCGTTCACATGTTTTCTGCATGTTAAGCACTGTTATTAGTGTTTCGTGGAGCATTCATAACTAATTTTCCCATTCACTGCACTTATATTGTTTTGTTTTAACAGACACAATTTATCAAATCATTATGTCTTGTCTACAGTCAATAGACTTTCTTACATTTCTTTCAATGATTCGTGAAAAGGCAAAGATAAATGAACTGACAATAAGCCTTTGTCTATTAATCACAAGTGAGCTCCCAGAAGAACTCTAACAAAACATTGTTAGACCAGAAATACATTTGATATATGCAGAAAACGTGCGTCTCTCTGCCTTGCCTGTTGAATCTTCAATGGAAAACTTCCCCAGCTCATTTCCAGACAAGAATCTATAGTAGATTTCTGCATTCACTCCAATGTCACTACTTGTGGCAAAGACTCGCAGCACTTCTGTTCCTACAGTAACATCTTCAGGCACTGTGACCACGTAATCTTGCTTTTGAAACACAGGTGGGTTGTCGTTCACGTCCAGAACCATGATGGTGAGGTCCACCTCGGTGGAGAGCGAGCCATCGCCCCCTGCTCGGTCAGTAGCCTTGATTCTGATCTGATACGAGTCTTGCACCTCTCGGTCCAGAGGCTTCTCCAGGATCACCACACCAGCGGATGGGTCAGTGGAGAACATACCACCAGCAGAGTCAACAAGTGAGTACACGATCTTCCTGTTTAGACCTGGGAGAAGGCATATTTTTGGACTATAATTTTGCTAAAATAAAGAATACATCAGACATGCAGTGATGATGTTTCCAAGTTTTATGATCCAAAAAGCAACTTGGATCATTGGGAAAAAAAATGTGGCCTTGCTACAGACACGTTGTACTTAAAAAGATTATTTTGCTATTTTTAAAAATAATTATTTTGAGTTGATATTTATAGTTTTTAAAATCCCATTGCAGGACTATTTAAAATTAAGTGGTGGAGGAAAAAAGCATCAGTCACAGAACCTCTTATACACTCATATAAAGTTGAACCTAAATGTTACACATGTGAAATACTTACCTTCATCTGGATCATTAGCCCGAAGGCGTGTGAGCAAGGCCTTGGGTGCCGCGTTTTCATATACACTCGCCATGAACCGTGTGAAGGCAAATGATGGTGCATTATCATTAACATCCAGAATGGTCAGAGAAATTTCAGAGCGACAGAACAGCCCCCCTCCATCTGTAGCCTGTGCTATCAACTTATAACCTGCAGTTCTCTCACGGTCCAATAAAGAGGCCGTCTTCAGTTCACCTGGCACCAAAACAGAGAGACGTAAGAAAAGTGCAAAGACTCACAGGATGGATTTCAGAACCATGGGCCAGAGCTACATTAAGTAAAAACTTCAGTCAGATGAATAAAAGATATTGTAAGTGATGGATGATGGTGCTAACTATTTATTTGTCATAAATGTTTCATTCAATCAAGACTTATGACGTCAATTAATTAATTACTAAATTACTGTCATCTATCTAAAGACACTTTCAACTTTTCTGTCAAGCTGGGATAACAGGCAAACTTGTATTAAATATATCTGAAAACCTAAATAATATTCAATTTATTAAAATAAATTGAAGGCTGGAATACACTACACAACTTTTTCAACACATGGTTACAGAGAAAAAATGGGCATCATACACTAAAGCAAGGATCATACACTGCCATACTCGCAAATCACTGCAAACACAACAAACTCATGCATAAAATTTCTAATCAGCTCAAAATATCAAACATGTTTGATATCCTCAGACATAAAATAATCATAATCTGTCATATGAAATCTAGGTAAAACTGTCAACTCCAAACACTCTCCACCAACATTTGGAAAGTATATGAGTTCATTGTTAGTCATGGGCTGGTTTTATGGATCCTGGATTTTTAACTTGTAGGGAGCAAAGGGTTAAGATGAATAGTGTTTTATCAGATACACGTTGTACATCCATTGGGTCTCCACAGGGCTGTGTACTGTCATCAATTCTTTTTATCATGTATACAAATGCGTTATGAGGATAACTATTATGTTGTTAAATATGCAGACGATACAGGTTTCCTATCCTTGCTATCAAGCTCAAAACGTGACGATAGCCATGCAATTCTTAAAGGGATACTCCACCCCAAAATGAGTAAATTACACTGCATCACCGTAGGGCCATTTTGGAGAATATGCGCTGAACGCAAGCAGCGTACGCTATTCTGTGTCAGCCGCAACACAAGGATACGTTTTCTACGTGTATTTACGCTTTGATTTGAATGAAAACAT